CTTACAAACCTGTACCCAGAACCTCTGAACCGGCCTGCATAACCTTAACGCGTGAAAATAATTATCGAGTTGATTGCCTGTGCACTGTGGACAAATGTTAGATTGTGCAAAACCCATCTTGAATATTCTTTGACCTGTATAGTGCACTCTCTGGAGGATTTTATATTGTATTATTTGTAAATTGGGCTTTCTAGTCATGTTAAAAGTTCTTAGACATATCTGAGCCCAGATATTTTGTTCAAAGCTGGCTGACAAATCCTCCTCCCATTTAGTAATAGGAAGAGATATTGTATCATCCAGTTTAGTCAGTGTCCTGTATAATTTAGAAAGTAGTTTGGGGGGGTTTAACTCTAGAAACTCTGATATGTCAGTTGGAATTTGTAAACCTCCATCAATATGATTAAATTTATCTATAATTATAGCTTTAATTTGCTCGTATTCTAGGAATTTATTTTTGCTAATGCCATATTGCAAATTTAATCTAGCAAATGTGATAAATTCTGTATCTTCAAATAAATGATCAAGATAGTTAATACCTTTATTCTTCCAGTACGGAAAGTTTATCATATTATTTTTCTGTAGAATGTCAGGGTTATTCCAGATGGGTGTACGACTGCAGGGGATAAGTGATGACTTCGTTATTTTAAGAAATTCCCACCATGCTGTCAGGGAAGTGCTGATGTTAATATTTTTAAAACATGAGTGCTGCTTGATATTAGAGCTAATAAACGGCAAATCTGAAATTATGATATAACTGCATATTTCCTGTTCTGTGTCTATCCAGGGCTCATCTAAGGGATTATGTTTTATCCATTTAGAGATGTATTGTAATCTATTTAATAAGTAGTAGTTTTGGAAGTTAGGTAAATCTAGTCCCCCTCTGTCTTTAGTTCATGCCAAATCTTAAAGATTTTATCCTGAATAATAGATTTACCCTCACTTCGGCTTAAAGGTACATTATAATTAAGTTAATAGCATCTCATTTTTGTCACGGTCTTACTTTCTCTTTTACTTTGTGTTTTATTGGTTTATTTCCTACTTTGTGTTTCTTGATTTATTTTAGTTCTCAGGTTTTTCTGTTGTTGTCCTCTGTTGCCCTCTTATGTGTGTTCCTTTCCCCTTGGCTCCCTCATTGTCTCCACTCACACCTGCTCCTTATCAGCTCGTTAGCCCTGCTTTTGTCTCAGTCAGCTATATACACTCACCGGCCACTTTATTAGGTACCCCATGCTAGTAACGGGTTTGACCCCCTTTTGCCTTCAGAACTGCCTCAATTCTTCATGGCATAGATTCAACAAGGTGCTGTAAGCATTCCTCAGGGAGTTTGGTCCATATTGACATGATGGCATCACACAGTTGCCGCAGATTTGTCGGCTGCACATCCATGATGCGAATCTCCAGTTCCACCACATCCCAAAGATGCTCTATTGGATTGAGATCTGGTGACTGTGGAGGCCATTTGAGTACAGTGAACTCATTGTCATGTTCTAGAAACCAGTCTGAGATGATTCCAGCTTTATGACATGGCGCATTATCCTGCTGAAAGTAGCCATCAGAAGTTGGGTACTTGTGGTCATAAAGGGATGGACATGGTCAGCAACAATACTCAGGTAGGCTGTGGCGTTGCAACGATGCTCAATTGGTACCAAGGGGCCCAAAGAGTGCCAAGAAAATATTCCCCACACCATGACACCACCACCACCAGCCTGAACCGTTAATACAAGGCAAGATGGATCCATGCTTTCATGTTGTAGACGCCAAATTCTGACCCTACCATCCGAATGTCGCAGCAGAAATCGAGACTCATCAGACCAGGCAACGTTTTTCCAATCTTCTATTGTCCAATTTTGATGAGCTTGTGCAAATTGTAGCCTCAGTTTCCTGTTCTTAGCTGAAAGGAGTGGCACCCGGTGTGGTCTTCTGCTGCTGTAGCCCATCTGCCTCAAAGTTCGACATACTGTGTGTTCAGAGATGCTCTTCTGCCCACCTTGGTTGTAACGGGTGGTTATTTGTGTCACTGTTGCCCTTCTATCAGCTCGAACCAGTCTGGCCATTCTCCTCTGACCTCTGGCATCAACAAGGCATTTCCGCCCACAGAACTGCCGCTCACTGGATGTTTTTTCTTTTTCGGACCATTCTCTGTAAACCCTAGAGATGGTTGTGCGTGAAAATCCCAGTAGATCAGCAGTTTCTGAAATACTCAGACCAGCCCTTCTGGCACCAACATTCATGCCACGTTCAAAGTCACTCAAATCACCTTTCTTCCCCATACTGATGCTCGGTTTGAACTGCAGGAGATTGTCTTGACCATGTCTACATGCCTAAATGCACTGAGTTGCCGCCATGTGATTGGCTGCTTAGAAATTAAGTGTTAACAAGCAGTTGGAAAGGTGTACCTAATAAAGTGGCAGGTGAGTGTATACTCTCACTCATTCTTTCACTCCTTGTTAGTTCCTCTGTTGTTGCTGCTTCTGTTGTTGCTGGTTCCCCATCGCCGTTGCTGATTGTTCTCCCCTTATGTCTCTGTGGTTCTGGTGTGTTATATTTTAAGTTTAATTTTTGATTCCTGCCTTTGTTACTGTTTTCACCAATTAAACTGCAGAAATCACCTCAGCCTCTCTGCCTCTGCATTTGGGTCCTCCAAACCTCAACCTAAACGGGACAATTTTAGGGCCCGTTTAGCTTATATATATCTACTTCTTAACTTCCTTCTATACCTTCATGAGCAGGAATCCAGACAAATTGAAATAAAATGTTGAACTAATAAGTAATATATCTGTTAATAATCTAATTGACAAAACCTGCCAGATACAATATTTAATAATGCAGCCTGACTATCTGATGCAATTATATATTTATTTTCTTCCCAAACATTATCATCAACCAACCATTCTAACGCTAACATAATGGCAATTAATTCAACCAGACACAAAAACACAAAACTGCTAGATCAGCTGTTGTTCTCCTTTTATCCATGACTTTATGGTGTGGGATATTCACAGCTGCTCCTGTTCTACCACTATTTGGATCTTTAGGTTGATCTGCATACATAATTATACTATCTTTAAATCTTTCAAAAATAATTATTAACTATATCCCATTCTGGAGTCTTTCCCTTTTTAATAAATTCCCCCAATTGCACATCAACTTCTGATGTGATAAATAAGCATGGTGGCATTGGTGACTGTGGAACCATAAAATTAAACTGGAACTGAGTAAAACAGAATTTTTTTTTAGCTTTTATGTCCCAAATCCATCCAAAGTTATAATCAGATTTATGATGTTCCCAACATTCCTGCTAAAGGAGATGATCTGAAAGCTCCACAACATATTCGTAACCCTTGTCTCTGTTCACTATCAAGTTTTTTCAAATGGAGCCTGGGCGAAAGTTCAACTGAAGGAACTGATTGCTCTCCTAAATCCACCTACGACACAGCCAATCAGCTTTGAACCACACCTCCACGAAAGCCAATCGGCACCCAAACTTCATCTTAAAAGGCCTCTGATCCACAACATGTCTGCCCCTAGTGTACAGGAGGTGGTTGCGCTGTGTGACTTCATTCAATTGACCCCATTTCAACCCACCTCCAGCCCCTACTCCTCCATCGTAGCTAAAACTTCATCAGAGTGTCATTCCTTTTGGACTCTTACTGGATTCCCTGTCTCATCTTAACCGGTCAGGTAGAAGACCGCCATGTTGAGCATGGTTCTGCCAGAGGTTTCTTCCCAACGGGGAGTTTTTCCTCTCCACTGTCGCTTCATGTTTGAAATCATGGACAGGTTCTCTCATCCTGTGTTATCCAACTGGACTTCCATCTTCCAGGTCCCTGAGTGAAGCTCTAGTTTGAGCTCATGCAGTCCACTGGATTTTCCCTTAAAGCTAAGCATACCATCTCACTAACCAGCAGTCTACAGACTGACCAACTTCATCTATCTCC